TGTTGCTCTTCTCTGAACTCTTTCTAGAGTCTCCACATCTTTTTTATATTGTGGCAACCAAAACTGGATGCAGTATTCCAAGTGTGGCCTTACCAAGGCATTATAAAGTGGTATTAACACTTCACGTGATCTCGATTCTATCCCTCTGTTTATGCAGTCTAGAACTGTGTTGGCTTTTTTGGCAGCTGCTGCACACTGCTGGCTCATCTTTAAATGATTGTCCACTAGGACTCCAAGATCCCTCTCATAGTTACTATTATTGAGCGAGGTACCACATATACTGTATCTGTGCATTTGGTTTTTCTTGCCTAAATGTAGAACCTTACTTTTTTCACCGTTGTATTTCATTTTGTTAGGTAGCGCCCAATGTTCAAGTCTGTCAAGATCCTTCTGTATCTTAAGCCTATCTTCTGGAGTGTTGGCTATTCCTGCCATATTCATTTTATATGTCCCCTATCTCACTCTCCAAAGTGACTGGGGCCATTTAAGGTAAAGATAAAGGTTCCCCTTGCATATATGTGCTAGTTGTTCCCGACTCTAGGGGGCGGTGCTCATCTCTGTTTCAAAGCTGAAGAAGCCAGCGCTGTCCGAAGACGTCTCTGTGGTCATGTGGCCCTCATGATTAAATGCCAAAGGTGCACTGTTACCTTCCCACCAAAGGTGGTCCCTATTTTCTACTTGCATTTTTTACCGGCTTTCAAACTACTAGGTTGGCAGAAGCTGGGACAAGTAACAGGAGCTCACACCGTTACGCGGCACTAGGGATTCGAACCGCTGAACTGCTGACCTTTCGATCAATAAGCTCAGCATCTTAGCCACTGAGCCACCATGTCTCCAATGCCCAAATTGTTCTTCTCACCAGCAGGCAAGATAGGTCACCTGACATGGATATCCCTAGATTCTTGTGGGCAATGCCATGAATGAGACCTACTCATAAATTCAGAACAGAATAGCAGATTGACAGTTGGAAGGGACCTTGGTGGTCTTCTGGTCCAATCCCCTGATCAGGCAGGGAATCCTATACCATTTCAGGCAAATGGCTGTCCAATCTCTTCTAAAAAGCTTCCAGTGTTGGAGCATTCACAACTTCTGGAGACAAGCCGTTCCCATGATTAATTGTTCTGTTAGGAGATTTCTCCTTCATTCTAGGTTGCTTCTCTCCTTGATTAGTTTCTATCCATTGCTTCTTGTCTTGCTTTCAGGTCCTTTGGAAAATAGGTTGACCCCCTCTTCTTTGTGGCAGCCCCTTAGATATTGGAACACTGCTATCATGTCACCCCTAGTCCTTCAACATACATTTAATGTGCATGCTCCTTCATCTTAAGCACTGACTTCAAGTTATCAAGACAAAGAAATAAATCTGTCATCACTTACTTAAGACTTAGTTTGCACCCCATAAAGGGATGTAAGCACTATGATCATTTATATAATTTTTTAAAGAAGTGTCTGGATTGGGGTGGGGGGCAGAAAGAGAAGAAATTATCTTCACTTACCTAAGATTAACAGCACCAAGGACCATGCAAAAAACATCTTGCTTGATCGAGCAGAGAAGAAGTTAAGAAGAGATGCAGAAGCAAAGCAAAGAAACATATTTTGATTGGCTTCTGAGATTTGCACTGCACTCAGTATCATACAAAAGGTTTGTGAAATCCAGCCCAACTTTTTTGTCAAGCAATTGAAAACGAAATCTTCTAATGGTTGAACCCCATAGGATGTGGTTAGTGGTTAAGAATGCCTCTGGGAGTTGTAGAAAGTTTTTCATTTTACATTTGTACAGTGACTAGTTTACCCTGTGAGTGGAAACAGCCTGACAACTACACCTTGTGTTTGAAAGTGACATAGCATGGTGAGTTTCCAACCAGAATTGATGAAGCTACTGAAACATACCTCATTAGAATAGAGTAGAGTAGAGTAGAGTAGAGTAGAGTAGAGTAGAGTAGAGTAGAGTAGAGTAGAGTAGAGTAGAGTAAAGTAGAATAGAATAGAACAGAACAGAACAGAACAGAACAGAACAGAACAGAACAGAACAGAATAGAATAGAATAGAATAGAATTCTTCATTGGCCAAGTGTGATTGGACACAGAAGGAACTTGTCTCTGGTGCATATGCTCTCAGTGTACATAAAAAGACAAGATACATTCGTCAAGAATCATACGATACAACATTTAATGATGGTCATAGGGTGCAAATAAGCAATCAAATCATAGTAGGAAACAGTCAATATAAATTGTAAGGATACCAGGAACAAGGTTACAGTCATACTGTCATAAGTGGAAGGAGATTGGTGATAGGAATGATGAGAAGATTAATAGTAGTGCAGACTTAGTAAATAGATTGACAGTGTTGAGGGAATTATTTGTTTAGCAGAGTGATGGTGTTCGGGAAAAAAACTGTTCTTGTGTCTAGTTGTTCTGGTGTACAGTGCTCTATAGCATTGTTTTGAAGGTAGGAGTTGAAACAGTTGATGTCCAGGATGCTCGGGAAGATGGACTTTGATACTGAAGCATTGATCTTTTCTTTAGGAGCTCAGTCTCCATAATTCAAGATGTTCCAGGAGGTCAGCATAATTTAGATCATATTTGTCTTCAAAGAGGTATGCAAAAGTCCATACATATATCAAAGACTGGAAAACTTCAGTCAACTAGGTAACACCAAGACAAAAACTAAAACTGAATGTCTTCAGTACCATCTTTGTAAGCATTTAAGGAACAGAAATGGAAGATACAAATCGTAGCTGCTGATGGTAGTATGTGGATGTTCCCTTAAGTGAAGAAAGCATGGGTGGAGAAGCAGAGAATGAAAACCTCAGGAATGGCACCAACCTTCTTAGAAATTGTAGTCTACTTCTCAGAATAACAGACTGAAGGAGTTGGAAGGGACCTTGGAGGTCTTCTAGACCAACCAACTGGTCAGGCAGGAAACCCTATACCATTTCAGGCAAATGGTTGCCCAATCTATTCTTAAAAAATCTCCAGTGTTGGAGCATCTACAACCTATGGAAGCAAGTTGTTCCACTGATTAATTGTTCTAACTCTTAGGAAAATTCTCCTTAATTCCAAATGGGTTCTCTCCTTTATTAGTTTCCATCCATTCCTTCTTGTCCTGTCTTCAGGTGCTTTGAAGATAGCTTGGCTCCCTCTTCTTTGTGGCAACCCCTGAGATATCAGAACACCGTTATCATGTCCTCCTTTTCATTAAACTAGACATATCCAATTCCAGCAACTGCTCCAGTCCCCTAACCATCTTTGTTGCTCTTCTCTGTACTCTTTCTAGTGTCTCAACATCTCTTTTACATTGTGGCAACCAAAGCTGGATGCAGTATTTCAAGTGTGGTCCTATCAAGGCATTATAAAATGGTATTATAGGAAGAAAGTTAAGAGGAACGTATTGATCTGACCTGCTTTCTATGGGCAACTTCAGTGGAAATTAGTTATAGGAATCAGAATTTTATTAAATGTGAGAACCAAAGACCCAAAATGTTGGCATTTGGACAAGTTGAGGCTAAATAGCCATTGGACTGGAATGCTTTAGTTTAGATTTCCGCATTGAGCACAATGTTAGAGTCCAAGATCTAAATGGACCCTTCCAATGCTACAATCCTTCCTTCCTTCCTTCCTTCCTTCCTTCCTTCCTTCCTTCCTTCCCTTCCTTCCTTCCTTCCCTCCCTCCCTCCCTCCCTCCCTCCCTCCCTCCTTCCTTCCTTCCTTCCTTCCTTCCTTCCTTCCTTCCTTCCTATATATTTTTTTCATGTTTAATTAGGGGATTTAAAAAGAAAGAAAGCAAAGAAGGAAGTGTTGAAGCATGAATCAGCCTCATTCCCCCCTGGGGAAATGGTAATTAATTAGAGGTGAATGGATCTTGTTTTCCATGCTGTATATTTTAAACAAAGAAAACCCGAAATATATTCTAAGAAACATTTTATTATAAAAACAAACAAAAACTAGGTAACTACATCTTTACCGGACAAAGGAAAGATCAGGAAGTTAGAAAAGAAAGAATGTAGACATGCGCAGTAGCTCAGAAATCTGGCAAAAACTTAATGCAGTGACAACCCCTTCTTTGTCAGTTGAGTGGACATCAGGTACTGCCATCAAGTAAGGAAAATCTTCTTACACAGATACTCGTGCTGAGCTGCTGGAAGTGGTTTGTTGAGCATGTCAGCAATCTGATCATGTGTAGGCACATACTGCAATTTTACAAAACATTGTTTTCCATGCTGTATACTTTAAAGAAAGAAAACCCGAAATATATTCTAAGAAACATTTTATTATAAAAACAAACAAAACTAGGTAACTACATTTTTACCGGACAAAGGAAAGATCAGGAAGTTAGAAAAGAAAGAATGTAGACATGCGCAGTAGCTCAGAAATCACAAGACAGTTTTAGCTCTGTTACTACAGATAAATAAAGTTCTCTGGCTACCATAAGTCTTAGGATGGAAGCTCAGCTGGCAAACACTTAACACAGTGACAGGAAGGAAGGATGCAAAAAAGAAAGAAGGAGGAAGGAAGGAAGGAAGGAAGGAAGGAAGGACAGAAGGAAGGAAGGAGGGAAGGAAGGAGGGAAAGAAGAAATAATGGAGGGAGGGAAGGAAAGAGGGAAAGCTTAATCTAGAACTGAAATGAATTGCTAAGTCAACAAATTCATCACTCATCCTTTTAATCTTCATAGCAAAAATGATTCTGGGCACATTCAGATTGCTGTCTGTTCATGATTAACAAAACAATCAACATATTTTGCCCTTCCTTCCTTCCTCCCTTCCTTCCTTCCCTCCTTCCTGCCTGCCTGCCTGCCTGCTATATATTTCTGTCATGTTTAATTTGCGGATTGAAAAAGGAAGGAAGGAAGGAAGGAAGGAAGGAAGGAAGGAAGGAAGGAAGGAAGGAAGGAAGGCTTAATCTAGAATTTAAATGGATTGTTAAGTCAACAAATTCATCACTCATCCTTTCAATCATCATGGTAAAAGTGCTTCTGGGCACATTCAGATTGTGAGGTGTGTCTTCACAATGATCTTTCTTTCCTCTCTCTGGCGGCAGCTGCATTGCAAGAAAGGGTTCTTGCTAAAGAGACTCACTAGGATGTGACACAGTGTATACCAGAGCACAGAGGTACAAGGCCTGGTCCTCAAAGGTCACTTTGGTGAAGGAGAGGATGCTATTTTTTCGCTCATCAGGAATAATCAAGGAAATTCTCTCCCCTAAGTTGCTCGGCTCTTTTCCCTTGTATCCAGTTGCAATGAGATCGGGAGGCTGGCTAGGGAACAGTCGGTACCAAACGATGTTTTCATTTGTTTTAATATTGGGATGGGAGCAATTAAGGTCTACTTCTCTTCCATTGGATGCTTCTAGCAGGGGTTCCTGGACAGGATTTTCAGCATGGCAGAAAAGAGTTCCTGAAAAGTCAAACACAGGAAAAGAACAGGAAGTCAACATCTGTGGCCCCTGATGGAACTCTTGGATGTTCTTGAATCAATAATACTACTGGGATGTCCTTAATATAGAAGCGCTGAGGAGTAGCACAGTCTCTATCAGAATAGAGATGGAAGGGAACTTGGAGGTCTTCTAGTCCAACCCCCTGCTCAGCACAAGATGTTGTGAAAATATTTACAGACCTCTCACATCCTGGACATAAATTGTTTCAACTCCTACCCTCAAAATGATGCTATAGAGCACTGCACACCAAAACAACTAGACCCAAGAACAGTTTTTTTCCCCAAATGCTGTCACTCTGCTAAACAAGTAATTCCCTCAATGCTGTCAAACTATTCACTAAGTCTGCATAAATACTTTGATTAGTCTTCTCATCGTTTCTATCACCCATCTCCTCCCACTTATGACTGCATGACTGCAGTTTTGTTGCTTGAATCCTTAGGATTTATATTGATATTGTTTCCTAGTATAATTTGATTTGTACCCTATGACTATCATTAAGTGTTGTATCTTATGATTGTTGTTGAATGTATCTTTTCTTTTTACACTGAGAGCATATGCCCCAAAGACAAATTCCTTGTGTATCCAATCACACTTGGCCAATAAAGAATTCTATTCTATTCTATTCTATTCTATTCTATTCTATTCTATTCTATTCTATTCTATTCTACTCTACTCTACTCTACTGTACTCTACTGTACTCTATTATATTCTATCCTACTCTACTCTACTCTACTCTACTCTACTCTACTCTACTCTACTCTACTCTACTCTACTCTACTCTATTCTATTCTATTCTATTCTATTCTATTCTATTCTATTCTATTCTGAGATCATATCCCCTTTCAGAAAGGTAGCTGTCCAGTCTTTCCTTAAAACCCTCCAGTGATGAAGTACCCACAACCTCTGATCCAAGGAAAGAGAGAAAGTGATTTCTTAAATAATACTTACTTGACAGGAGAACCATTAATATTAGTAAGAAGGATGCCAAATTCATGGTGAGGAACGGAGGCATTTCAGTTGAACCGATTTAGTCAAAGCAGCTGAGGTCTTCTCTAAAAATGAGTCCTGGCAGAGAATATCTCCTGCCTTCTTCTGATTCTCTCTGTTGTGGTTTTCTGTGTGTTTCAGCAGAGAGTCCCATGACTATTTCATTGGCTGTCAATTACATGAATCTCATTTGCCTTCATTCGGATATGAATCTAGCTCCCCACACTGGTAAGAGAACCTATGTTGAAAAGGCGAGGGGGTTTATTATGAGGAAATGCAAAAACCAGCCTCTCGTGAAAGATGGCAGGTGTCCTCACAGCTTGGAACGGGGACAACCACAGTTTGTCTGCCACAGTCTTCTCTCAGGCATGGACCTTCACTGAACAGCAGTGGTGCCCACAGGGGTGTCAAAAGGACACAAGGTGGGGGTGGATGCATGTTGTATTTTTTGAACATCCTGGTGGACACCATATCTTGGATCGATGGTTCCCTCCGTCAACAGGATGGTTGCTCTGAGAGGAAATTAAAAGAATGTTTCCCCAGAAGCTCGAGGAAAGGAGGGAGAAAAGCATGAATTGTAACAAAAACTGTTGAGATTGAACACATTCATGTACCCGTTTGAGAATTGGTCTCTGGGCTGCATGTACATCCATGTTTGCTATGGTTAGACTGGAGTTCAGTCATGTGTTGGACTTGAAATGTGTGAAATAACAATAATGAGATTTGCTGGCATTTTCATTTTATATTGTGGGGACAAAGAAGAACAGAAGAGAGATCTTTCGGAAGGAGGAATAATTATGAAGGGCAATATGAATATGGAGATTTCTTTTTCCGTTTAACCCATCAATATTGAAGACATTGGTAATCAGATGCATACATAAAACATCAATATACAACAGTGAGTAGAGATTTGGAATTTTGTTTCCATTTTTCCAGTTGAATTTCTTTAAATCTTTGAGGGGTCCTTGGTGCTCTCTGAGCTTGCTTGTTTCTTACAGATGTTTCATTACCCAAACTAGGTAACATCATCAGTGCTAGTAGTCTCATATAGTAGTAGATACTAGCACATATAATGTTACATAGTTTGGTAAATGAAACATTTGCAGAAAAGGAAGGAAGCTCTGGAATCACCAAGGACCCCTCATTTCAACCCCGAACTACAAATATTCTCTTTTAAATGTTTACTTATTAATTAGTGTTTTAGAGGCTAAGCAGGAAAACAGATTCTTTTCACTAACAAAAAATGTAGCATATTTTTTGCTTTCCTTCCTTCCTTCCTTCCTTCCTTCCTTCCTTCCTTCCTTCCTTCCTTCCTGCCTGCCTGCCTGCCTGCCTTCCTTCCTTCCTTCCTTCCTGCCTTCCTTCCTATCTACCTACCTACCTACCTACCTACCTACCTACCTACCAATATGTTTTTATCATTTTTAATTAGGTTATTCCAAAAAAGCCTTAATCAAGGATTGAAATGAATGGCTAAGTCAACAAATTCATCATTCATCCTTTCAATCATTAGGTTAAAAATACTTCCGGGCACCTTCAGATTGGTGTGTCTTCATGATTAACAAAACAATCAGTATATTTTGCTCTTCTTTCCTTCCTTACTCCCTCCCTTCTTTCCTTCCTTCCATCTTTCCTTCCTTCCTTCCTTCTTTCCTTCCTTCCTTTCTTTCTTCCCCTCATCCCCCCTCCATCCTTCCCTCCTTTCTTTCTTTCTTCCTTCCTTCCCTCCCACTCTTCTTTCCTTCCTTCTTTCTTTCTTTCCTTCTTTCCTTCCTTTCTTCCTTCCTTCCTTCATGTTTAATTAAGGGATTGAAAAAAGAATAAATGAATGAATGAATGAAAGAAAGAAAGAAAGAAAGAAAGCAAAATAGAGAAGAGAAGGAAGGAAGGAAAGAAAGAATGAAAAAAGAAAGGAAGGAAGAGAAAGAAGAATATAAGAAAGAAAGAAAGATAAATAGATAGATAGAAAGCAAGCAAGAATGAATGGAAGGAAGGGAGGAAGGAAGGGAGGGAGGTAGGGAGAGAGGGAGGGAGGGAAGGAGGAAGGAAGGAAGGAAGGAAGAAAGAAGGAAAGAAAGAAAGAAAGAAAGAAAGAAAGAAAGAAAGAAAGAAAGAAAAAGAAATGATGGAAGGAAGCCTCAATCTAGAATTGAAATGAATTGCTAAGTCAACAAATTCATCACTCATCCTTTCAATCAAGGATGATTTGGTTGCTTATTTGTAGCCTATGACTATCATTACGTGTTGTATCTTGTGATTCTCGGTGAATGTATCTTGTCTTTTTGAGAGCATATGCACCAAAGACAAATTCCTTGTGTGTCCAATCACACTTGGCCAATAAAGAATTCTATTCTATTCTATTCTATTCTATTCTATTCTATTCTATTCTATTCTATTCTATTCTATTCTATTCTATTCTATTCCATTCCATTCCATTCCATTCCATTCCATTCCCCTCCACTCCACTCCACTCCACTCTACTCTACTCTACTCTACTCTACTCTACTCTACTCTACGTCCTTCCCTCCTTCCCTCCTTTCTTTCTTCCTTCCTTCCCTCTCTTCTTTCTTTCCTTCTTTCCTTCCTTCCTTCATATTTAATTAGGGGATTGAAAAAGGAAGGAAGGAAGGAAGGAAGGAAGGAAGGAAGGAAGGAAGGAAGGAAGGAAGGAAGGAAGGAAAGGAGCCTTAATCTAGAATTGAAATGAATTGCTAAATCAACAAATTCATCACTCATCCTTTCAGTTATCATGGCAAAAATGCATCTGGACACATTCAGATTGTGAGGTGTGTCTTCACAATTATGTTTCTTTCCTCTCTCTGGCGGCAGCTGCATTGCAAGAAAGGGTTCTTGCCAAAGAGACTCACGAGGATGTGACACAGTGTCTCCCAGAGCACAGACGTACAAGGCCTGGTCCTCAAAGGTGACTTTGGTGAAGGAGAGAATGCTATTTTTTCGCTCATCAGGAATAATCAAGGAAATTCTCTCCCCTAAGTTGCTTTTCTCTGTTTCCTTGAATCCGCTTACAATGAGATGGGGAGGCTGGCTAGGGAACTGTCGGAACCAATAGATACTTTCGGTTAACTGAATGTTGGGATGGGAGCAATTAAGGTCTACTTTCTCTTCCATTGGATGCTTCTATCAGGGGTTCCTGGACAGGATTTGCAGCTTGGCAGAAAAGAGTTCCTGTTAAAGTCAAACACAGGCAAAGAACAGGAAGTCAACATCTGTGGTCCCTGTTGGAAGTTCATGGATCAAAAATACCACTTGGATGCCCTTAATAGAAAGTCAACATCTGTGCTCCCTGATGAAAGTGTTGAAAGTTCATGGACCAAAAATACCACTTATATGTCCTTAATATAGAACCGCTGAGGAGTAGCACAGTCTCCATCAGAATAGACCTGTAAGGGACCTTGGAGGTCTTCTACTCCAACCCCTTACTCAGCCCAAGATGTTGTGAAAATATTTACAGACCTCTCACATCCTGGACATAAATTGTTTCAACTCCTACCCTCAAAATGATGGTATAGAGCACTGCACACCAAAACAACTAGACCCAAGAACAGTTTTTTCCCAAATGCTGTCACTCTGCTAAACAAGTAATTCTCTCAACGCTGTCAAACTATTCACTAAGTCTGCATAAATATTTTGATTAGTCTTCTCATCGTTCCTATCACCCATCTCCTCCCACTTATGACTGCATGACTGCAATTTTGTTGCTTGTATCCTTATGATTTATATCGATATTGTTTCCTAGTATAATTTGATTGCTTATTTGTACCCTATGACTATCATTAAGTGTTGTATCTTATGATTCTTGGTGATTGTATTTTTTCTTTTTACACTGAGAGAAGATGCACCAAAGACAAATTCCTTGTGTGTCCAATCACACTTGGCCAAATAATAATTCTATTCTATTCTATTCTATTCTATTATCTTCTATCTATTCTATTCTATTCTATCTCTATTCTATTCTATTCTTATTCTATTCTATTCTGAGATCGTATCCCCTTTCAGACAGATTAAATATTACTTACTTGATAGGAGAGCCATTAATATTAGCGAGAAGGATGCCAAATTCATGGTGAGAAACAGAAGCATTTCAGTTGACCCGATTTAGTCAAAGCAGCTGGGGTCTTCTCTAAAAATGAGTCAGAGAATATCTCTGCCTTCTTCTGATTCTCTCTGTTGTGGTTTTCTGTGTGTTTCAGCAGAGAGTCCCCATGAGTATGTCATTGGCTGTCGATTACATGAATCTCATTTGCCTTCATTCGGATATGAATCTAGCTCCCCACACTGGTAAGAGAGCCTATGTTGAAAAGGCGAGGGAGTTTATTATGAGGAAATGCAAAAACCAGCCTCTCCTGAAAGATGGCAGGTGTCCTCACGGCTTGGAAGGGGGACAAGCACAGTTTGTCTGCCACCGTCTTCTCTCAGCCATGGACCTTAACTGAACAGCAGTGGTGCCCACAGGGGTGTCAAAAGGACACAAGGTGGCTGTGGATGCATGTTGTATTTTTTGAACATCCTGGTGGACACCATATCTTGGATCGATGGTTCCCTCCATCAACAGGATGGTGGCTCTGAGGAGAAACTAAAAGAATGTTTCCCTAGAAGCTAGAATGAATTGCTTGAGAAAAGGAGGGAGAGAAACATTAATTGTAATAAAAACTGTTGAAATTGAACACATTCGTGTACCCGTTTGAGAATTGGTCACTGGGCTGCATGTACATCCATGTTTGCTATGGTTAGACTGGAGTTCAGTCATGTGTTGGACTTGAAATGTGTGAAATAACAATAATGAGATTTGCTGGGATTTTCATTTTATATTGTGGAGACAAAGAAGAACAGAAGAGAGATCTTTCAGAAGGAAGAATAATTATGAAGGGCAATATGAATATGAAGATTTCTTTTTCCGTTTAACCCATCAATATTGAAGACATTGGTAATCAGATGTATACATAAAACGTCAATATACAACAGTGAGTAGAGATTTTGAATTTTGTTTATATTCTTCCAGTTTAATTTCTTTAAATCTTTGAGGGGTACTTGGTGCTCTTTGAGCTTGCTTGTTTTCTTACTGACGTTTCATTACCCAAACTAGGCAACATCATCAGTGTTAGTAGTCTCCTAGTAGCTACTAGCACTTATACTGTCATTTCAACCCTGAACTACAAATATTCGCTTTTAAATGTTTACTTATTAATTAATGTTGTAGAGACTAAGGAGAAAAACAGATTCTTTTAACTAACAAACAGCATATTTTGCCCTTCTTTCCTTCCTTCCTTCCTTCCTTCCTTCCTTCCTTCCTTCCTTCCTGTTTAATTAGGGGATTGAAAAACAAAGGAAGGAAGGAGGGAAGGAAGGAAGGAAGGAAGGAAGGGAGAGAGGGAGAGAGAGAGAGGGAGGAAGGAAGGAAGGAAGGAAGGAAGGAAGGAAGGAAGGTAGGAAGGAAGGAAGAAATAAAGAACGAAAGAAAGAAAAATAGAGGGAGCAAGGAAGGAAGGAAGGAAGAAAGAAAGAAAGAAAGAAAGAAAGAAAGAAAGAAAAATAGAGGAAAGAGGGAAGGAAGGAAGGAAGGAAAGAAAGAATGAAAAAAGAAAGAAAGGAAAGGAAGGAAGAATACAAGAAAGAAAGAAAGGTAGATCAATAGAAAGCAAGAAAGAACAAACAGAAGAAGGAGGGAAAGAAGGAAGGAAGGAAGGAAGGAAGGAAGGAAGCAAAATAGAGGAAGGAAGGAAGGAAGGAAGGAAAGAATGAATGAATGAAAAAAGAAAGAATAGAAAGGAAGGAAGAATACAAGAAAGAAAGAAAGGTAGATCAATAGAAAGCAAGAAAGAACGAATGGAATGAATTCCCTCCCTCCCTCCTTTCTTTCTTCCTTCCCTCCCTCTCTTCTTTCTTTCCTTCCTTCCTTCGTTTCTTCTTTCATGTTTAATTAGCGGATTGAAAAACAAAGGAAGGAAGAAAGGAAGGAAGGAAGGAAGGTAGACTGGTTGGAAGGAAGGGAAAGAGGGAGAGAGAGTGAGAAAGGAAGGAAGGAAGGACAGAAGGAAGAAGGAAGGAAGGAAGGAAGAAAGAAAGAAAGAAAGAAAGAAAGAAAGAAAGAAAGAAAGAAAGAAAGAAAGAAGAAATGAAGGAAGGAAGCCTTAATCTAGAAATGAAATGAATTGTTAAATCAACAAATTCATCACTCATTGTTTCAATCGTCATGGCAAAAGTGCTTCTGGGCACATTCAGATTGTCAGCTGTGTCTTCACAATTATGTTTCTTTCCTCTCTCTGCTGGCAGATGTATTGAAAGAAAGGATTCTTGCCAAAGGAAGCCACTAGAATGTGACACAGTGTCTCTCAGAGCACAGAGGTACAATGCCTGGTCCTCAAAGGTGACTTCGGTGAAGGAGAGGATGCTATTTTTTCGCTCATCAGGAATGATCAAGGAAATTCTCTCCCCTAAGTCGCTCTTCTTTGTTCCCTTGTATCCAGTTGCAATGAGATGGGGAGGCTGGCTAGGGAACTGTCGGTACCAATAGATACTTTCGCTTGTTTGAATGTTGGGATGGGAGCAATTAAGGTCTGCTTCTCTTCCATTGGATGCTTCTAGCAGGGGTTCCTGGACAGGATTTGCAGCTTGGCAGAAAAGAGTTCCTGTTAAAGTCAAACACAGGCAAAGAACAGGAAGTCAACATCTGTGGTCCCTGATGAAAGTGTTGGAAGTTCATGGATCAAAAATACCACTGGCATGTCCTTAATATAGAAGAGCTGAAGAGTAGTACAGTCTCCATCAGAATAGAGCTGGAAGGGACCTTGGAGGTCTTCTAGTCCAACCCCCTGCTCAAGGACAACATCCTATACCCTTTCACATAGGCAGCTGTCCAGTCTTTCTTTAAAAACCTCCAGTGATGAAGCACCCACAACCTCTGATCCAAGGAAAGGGAGAAAGTGATTTCTTAAATATTACTTACTTGATAGGAGAGCCATTAATATTAGCGAGAAGGATGCCAAATTCATGGTGAGGAACGGAGGCATTTCAGTTGACCCGATTTAGTCAAAGCAGCTGAGGTCTTCTCTAAAAACGAGTCCTGGCAGAGAATATCTCCTGCCTTCTTCTGATTCTCTCTGTTGTGGTTTTCTGTGTGTTTCAGCAGAGAGTCCCATGACTATTTCATTGGCTGTCAATTACATGAATCTCATTTGCCTTCATTCGGATATGACTCTAGCTCCCCACACTGGTAAGAGAGCCTATGTTGAAAAGTCGAGGGAGTTTATTATGAGGAAATGCAAAAAGCAGCCTCTCGTGAAAGATGGCAGGTGTCCTCACGGCTTGGAAGGGGGACAACCACTGTTTGTCTGCCACAGTCTTCTCTCAGCCATGGACCTTCACTGAACAGCAGTGGTGCCCACAGGGGTGTCAAAAGGACACAAGGTGGCGGTGGATGCATGTTGTATTTTTTGAACATCCTGGTGGACACCATATCTTGGATCGATGGTTCCCTCCGTCAACAGGATGGCCTAATGGCTCAGCAGACTAAAAGCATTTTGATTAACACCAGTTGTCTGCAATTACTGCGAGTTCAATTCTCACCAGGCTCAAGGTTGACTCAGCCTTCCATCCTTTCTAAGGTAGGTCAATTGAGGACCCAGTTTGTGGGGGCAATAAACTGACTTTGTATAAAATATACAAAAGTATGAAGGCTATTCTTAACGCATTGTAAGCCGCCCTGAGTCTCCGGAGAAGGGCGGCATATAAATCAAATTAAAAAATAAAAAAACAGAAAAAAACAAAACAAAACAAAAAACAGGATGGTTGCTCTGAGGGGAAACTAAAAGAATGTTTTCCTAGAAGCTAGAATGAATTGCTAGAGAAAAGGAGAGAGAGAAGCATGAATCTGGGTGTCCTTCTAGACTCACAGCTAAGATTAGAGCAACATCTCACAGCTGTGGCTAGGGGGACCTTTGCACAGGTTCACCTGGTGCACCAATTGTGACCCTACTTGGATCAGGAGGCTCTCCTCACAGTCACTCATGCCCTTGTCACCTCACGGTTAGATTATTGTAACACGCTCTACATGGGGCTACCCTTGAAAAGTGTTCGGAGACTATAGTTGGTCCAGAATGCAGCCGCACGAACTATTGTAGGTGCACCTAGATACACACACATTACACCAATTCTCTGTGTGCTGCACTGGCTCCCTATCGGTCTCCGGACACAATTCAAGGTGTTGGTTATTACCTTTAAAGCCCTACATGGCTCAGGGCCAGGCTATCTTCAAAACCGCCTTCTACTGCATAGCTTCCAACGACCGGTAAGATCCCACAGAGTTGGTCTCCTCCGGGTCCTGTCAGCTAAACAATGTTGGCTGGCAGGCTCGCGGGGGAGGGCCTTCTCTGTGGCTGCCCCGGCTCTCTGGAACCAGTTACCTCCTGAGGTCTGGACTGCCCCCACCCTATTGGCCTTCTGGAAAGCGGTGAAGACCTGGCTTTTCTGGCAGGCCTGGGGCCGTTGATCTCGCTGCTGCAATCTTGCGAGATCCGGCCATGAATGGAGTGTGTGGGTTTTTAATGTTTTTTTAAAACAACTTTTATGATATATTGTTCTCATTTTTTTTTTGTTGTAAGCCGCCCAGAGTCCCCAGGGAGTTGGGCGGCATAGAAATGCGACAAACAAACAAACAAACAAACAAACAAACAAACAAACAAACAAATAAATAAATAGTAACAAAAACTGTTGAGATTGAACCCATTCGAGTACCCGTCTCAGAATTGGGCCATGGGCTGCATGTACACCGATGAATGCTATGGTTAAATTAGCCTTCTTTTGTTTGTCAGGATCCCAATGCTGGTATTCTAGCCAGTTACAAACAATTGCACTGATTTCTTTTCATATTGTGTTTCCCCCAAAATAAGAACCCAGACTTATTTTCTTTTAGGCCCCAAAATAAGCACTAGGGCTTATTTTCAGGTGATGTATTATTTCTTTTGAATGCCACCGCCATGAGGCAAGGAGGTGAAGCTGCCTGTCCTGCATATTGGCTTACCTCAGGGCCCCCATGACTCCACACTCCAACAACTGCCTCACAGCAGCAGCCAGTAGCCATGTGCAGCAGGAGCCAACATGGCAGCCAGCCCATTTCTTCCGGCCCTTGTGCGACAATGAAGCAGGATGCTGAGTGACACAGACAGCCATCCACATCCCGAGAACTGTCTTGCCTCGCGGAAGAGGCCCACTTCCAGCACCTGTGCTGTACCGCATGAGGAGGCCCGAGCAACGCACCATTGCTGTGGCCATGAGGCAAGGCAGAGAGGGGGTGGGGGATGAGGCGAGGCAATTGGGGATGGAGGGCGACTGCCCCACTGGCTGTGTATGCACTTAAATAGGGCTTATCTTGGGGGTAGGGCTTCTATTATTATTATTTTTTTTTAAATTTGATTTATATGCCGCCCTGCTCCGAAGACTCAGGGCAGCTTACAATGCGTTAAGCAATAGCCTTCATACTTTTGTATATTTATACAAAGTCAGCTTATTGCCCCCACAAACTGGGTCCTCAATTTACCCACCTTAGAAAGGATGGAAGGCTGAGTCGACCTTGAGCCTGGTTAGAATTGAACTCGCAGTAATTGCAGGCAGCTGGATGTTAAATGCTGCCTTAGGAGGCATTAGCCTCCTACGCCACTCAGGCTCCTATTATTAGGTGCACATGCTAGGGCTTATTTTCAAGATAGGTCTTATTTTCATTGAAACATGGACTGAATGGCACAGAGATTGTATTACTATCACTTGTTCTGAATAATCATCTTATCTTGAGAATTATTTTACAAAAACCACAGGTTTTTTTTTTTTACTTAAAAAAAAAACAAGCCACTGGATTTGAATTGGTGGTAATAGCAGTTCTTTGTCATTTTTATTATTTACACACAGGGTTTTTTTGAATGAGTTTTGTATAGTTTGAACGATCACATTTAGGAAAGATCCAAAGACTGTAATTTTTTCTAAGTGCTGCTCCAAATTACGGACTTTTGTAAGTGGTGAGTTGGCCTCCAGTGCATTCCTGTGGTGACTGATAGGTTCATAGGAAGGCAAGACAAGAAACAATGGATGGAAACTAATCAAAGAGAGAAGCAACCTAGAATTAACAGTGAGAACAATTAACCAGTGGATTGTTTTGCCTTCAGAAGTTGTGGGTGCTTCATCACTGGAGGCTTTTAAGAAGAGATTGGACAACCATTTGTCTGAAATGGAATAAGGCAGTGATGGCTAACCTTTTTGCTGTCGCATGCCAAAAGCAGGCGGAGTGCGGGGAGTCATGCACATGTGTGCCTAAACCCATAATTCAATGCCCCCATGCCATGCCCCCCCACGCATGCACGCGCAACCCCCCCCACACACACACATACCCCGTTTTGGGCCTAGCAGGCCTACCTGAAGCCTCCGGAGGCCAGAAACAGCCCGTTTCCTGATTTACTGTAAGCCCGGTAGGCCCGTTTTTCACCCTCCCCAGGCTCTAGAGGCTTTTGGCTGGCCCCGCCCATGCCGTCCCTCCCCTTCCAGAGTTTCCACGCGAGCCCTGTACTTACCTGGCATCCAAAACAGGCCACATGGAGACTTCTGGGAGGGGAGGGGCAGCATGGGTGGGTTCAGCTGAAAATCAGCTGCCTGGCACGCGCATGCATGCTGGAGCTGATCAAGGGCAATGGCTTGCGTGCCTGCAGATATGGCTCTGCATGCCATCTGGGGCACGCGTGCCATAGGTTCACAGGAGTAAGGTCTCTAGCTTGTTGAACGAGAAGACCTCCATGGTCCCTTCCAACTCTGTTATTCTGTTAAATGCTTGTTCACATTCTTTGCACTAGGTGTAAATACAACTGCTAGTATCTCTGCTTCATTCTTCGATATATACCTCATCCCTAATTTACAGTCTTTATATTTTCTTTTGTCTTTTCCTCCTCCTTTCTCATTGAACCTCCTGCCTTCAGATACTTCAATGTCAATTCTCCATCGTTGTTTCTTTGGAACTGAAATCTATCTATCTATCTATCTATCTATCTATCTATCTATCTATCTATCTATCTTTCTGAGGTTTTTGCGTGTTTTGTATGTAGGTCTTTGGTTATTTGGTTTTGTCCCATGTAAAATTGGGAAGTAACTGGCGACGTTTCGACGAAGTCTTATTCGTCATCTGCAGGCTGGTGTCTTCGGCCTTGTGCTTCTAGGAGCAATGTCTGTCTGTCTATCTATCTATCTATTATCTATCTATCTATCTATCTAATCTATCTATCTATCTCAATCATCTACCTATGTCCATCCATATCTATCTATCTATCTATCTATCTATCTATCTATCTATCTATCTATCTATCTCCTATGTCCGTCCATCCATCCCTATCTATCTATCTATCTATCTATCTATCTATCTATCTATCTATCTATCTATCTATCTTTTCTGAGGTTTTTGCAGGTATTTGTATGTAGGTCTTTGGTTATTCGGGTTTTGTCCCACGTAAAATTGGAAGTAACTTGGCGACATTTCGATGAAGTCTCATTCATCATCTGCAGGCTGGTGTCTTCGGCCTTGTGCTTCTAGGAGCAATGTCTGTCTGTCTGTCTATCTATCTATCTATCTATCTATCTATCTATCTATCTATCTAGTTAGTTAGTTAGTTAGGTAGTTAGTTTGTCAAACATGTACAAGATAACAGGAATAAGTATAAACATGGATATGAAAATAGGAAATGGGTACGAATAAATGGGGACAGTAGGACAGAGACAGTAGGCACACTGGTACGCTTATGTATCCCCTTACAGACCTCTGAGGAATGGGGTGAGGTCAACAGTAGACATAACCTTAAAGTTTTGGGAGTTTGGGGATGAAACCGCAAAGACAGGTAGTGCATTCCAGGCACTGACCACTCTGTTGCTGAAGCTGTATTTTCTACAATCGAGTTTGGAGCGGTTTACCTTAAGTTTGTATCTATTGTGTGCTCGTGTATTGTGGTTGAAGCTGAAGTAGTCATTGACAGGAAGGACATTGTAGCAGATAATTTTATGTACTACGCTTAGATCAGACCAACGATGGTGAAGTTCTAAGTTGTCTAAGCCCAAAATTTCAAGTCTGGTGGCATAAGGTATTCTGTTGCGAGCAGAGGAGTGGAGGATTCTTCTTGTGAAATAACTCTGGACTCGTTCGATTGTATTAACGTCTGATATGCAGTGCAGGTTC